TCACATGGTCACAGCTCCTCTATCACAAGGTGGCCTCTGTTTAAAACATGCCGTAACTTACAGATGATAAGCCAGTATCTTTTTTCACACGCTTTGAACACTGCAGCTTAAACAATGATGCGGCTAATTTATGGATTTTTACGAGTTTTACGAATTTGCCTCGAGATATATATGACATTAAGAGCGACAACGAAAGAGAGACTGAGGAAGTGATGAAGTGATTCTGAGGCTGTTCAGCTCCTGAAGACACTGAAGAAGACGACTTTAGTGGTTTTAGTGCAGGAGGAAGATGAAGATAGCGATCGATGACTTTTCCTGGTAGCTGCTGTAGTTTTAATTTTTTTACCAGCCATGTTACAGGCACTGTTCGGGAAAAAAGCATTTACGGTATTTGTGTGTGTTACTGGCTCGTATTTAATTAAAAGTTTAAAAAAATCTTTCTATGTAAACATCTCATGTTACAACGTGGACACCTGCAGCTTATAGACACCTGCGATCTGTATATGTACAAAACTTGTTTTCTTTTTAAAGTCAGTGGGTGTGGCTTATGTTCAGATGCACTAAATAGTCCAGAATTTACAGTAATCTGCTTTATCAGCTGTTTTGCTCTAAATACGACGATAATTGACAAGATGAGCATCACGCTGTTTTGAAGACGACCTAAAATTTACAGTTGTGACCATAAGCTAACTCGTAAAATGCTTGTTGAGGGAACAAGTCAAGTGAGAAGTATCGTCATTTTCTTATTGACTTCTATGCAATCAGACTTCAGATGAGGCGCCTCCTGCTGGCTGTTAGAAAGAATGCAGCTCTACGTCGTTTTCCATCTTTCATGATACATTCAACTTCATTTTGATTTCACTGTGGGTGGTGGGACGTTCACAACAAGAGGCTTGTCGACCCATTAGACAGCCAACACCCAAATCTCAGCAATAGAAGCAGGAATACTTGTTCTCACAACTGACAACTGTAAAGGAAGCATCAGAAGCAGCTGGAAGAGCAGCTACCAGTGGCAGGGATGGACTGTGTTTCGTGGTCTGTAACTTTAAAAGAGCAGACGGACTGTAGACAAGAGCAAACAGAGATGTGTTTGTTGATAGTCTCTTGCAGACTCAGGGTGTGGTTGCGTTCGGTGGACGTCTATTGTTGTCTGATTGTCTAGTTGTGGGCCAGAAACAGTCGAGCGTTCAGACACTCAAGTCTGAACTGTGATTTACCTTTTGCAACCTGAAAGAGCGTAAGAGGTGTTCAGTCTGACCTTGAAGCGCTGCAGGACGCTGCAGGGCAGGGACACGACCTGACGCTGACATTCAGAAACTTTGTAGATTTATTGATAAGTCCTTCTGAAATCTGCTTTTGTTTCCTTCAAATGTTTTGTCAGATTCTGAGCCCTGAGGGGGCGACTTTACTACAACGTGAGATTAATGGGTTAGCGAGGAATGCTGAACCTAAAGTCAGAGCTTCCATTGTCAGGAAGATGGCTCTCTTATAACCCGCTAGATCAACATCGTAACTCATGCTGGAGAGGGTGAACGTCGGGTGTACGAAGCTTTTCTCTTTCACCAATTCTTGTCCCGTTTATTCTTTGTTAGCAGTACAGATTCTATTTACAGTAGCGCACGCTGTTTGCATTGCATCGTTACAGTAACCCACATGTTTGCTGGTGATGCAGAACCATGTTTTTATGTTTGATGCTGATTTGCTGCAGAGTTCATTTTACTGCAGCTCATAGAAAAAGTCTGTTGGAGAATATTTAATCAATACCATTAATTGCACTTTTATTTGGCCAAAAACTAAAGTATTTCCATGTAACATTTATCACAGGACAGTTTCAGACTTAAATCTTTAATCTCTTGTTTAAGTGAATGAAGTTTAAAGTTTACAGCAGTTGTCATGCTACAAATAAGCAGCTGCAATGAAAGGTAAAAACATATATTACTTCCACTATTAACAGTTTTTATACGAGAATTCCTCTCTTGCATCATTCGCAGCACTTTTTACTGTAATAGTTTTTTATATTCTCCACAGCGCTCTATGTTACCAACCTGTTCCTCTTCGCTTATCCTAAATCACTGAAACCTGGTTGACAAAGAAAGTTGGTGACCGCTGCTGTAGAACCAGTTCACACAAAGAAAGCTGCGTCAAAGCAGTGAAAAGATGTTTATCGACGGTTATTGTAACTTCATGGGCCGTCTCTGGTTGTTGATTTAACCCCTCGCAACTCAAAAAGTTCCAGATTTAGTTCTAATGTTGGAGGAATTCTGCTGTAAATTTTTGAGCCATGAACTGATTCTGATGATATACCCACCGTACACGTTGACAGGATTGGTTTATTTGGTTTGTGTCATGTTCTGTCATTGCATTAGCTGCTTATTGTACTCATGATGGTTGTTCAAACATATAAAAACCAACATATGGGCATGTTAACAAGGTAAAAAGCTTGATTATTGACATTTATTCTAGATGATTGGTGGGCTATATAAATGATCGTACAGATAAGACACGGTGAATTGACATAAAAATATAAAAACATCTGACTAGTGTTAACATGAAGAGCTGTAAGAGAACTGTGTTGTATTTTTGCTGTTGATATGGAAGAAGGGGACACAGTTGTACATTTAGTTGTTGGGTTATATGAGAGCGAGCACTTGCTTTAAAACTTAAAAAGCTGTGGGGACAAAAGCAGTTATCACAAAGAGCTGCAGAGACAAAAACAGTGAGATGAAAAGCTGTAAGGACAAGAAACAGTGTTAAATGATGCTGCTGCAAACTGGAGGCGCTGTCGAGGGGGAAACAGTGTCAGAAGATTGGAAGAGGCACAAAGAGAATAAACGGCGTTGCATGATGAAGGTTGTTGCATCTGAAGGGCTGCGAAGGGAAAACCAGTGAGACAATATGTACGTTGCAGTGAAGAGTAGTTGCACATGAGTAGAAGTGTCATCGCCTGCAGAAGGAACAAAGCAGCTGGAGTTACGTTCCTTCTTGCACCAGGTGCCTGAAAAAGACTAAATGTGCAATTTTTAAGGTGTGTTCCAGAGAAATCAGTTGTTCCTTAAACGGCTGCTGTCCTGTTAGTGGGCATCTCTTCTGGATCTTCTGATTTCCAACAGCTCGCTGCGACCCGGCAGGACGCTGATGGGGGCTGGGAGGGAGCCTATTGTGTTTCTAATGCAGCTGACCGCCCCTTGTTTTGGAACAGAAGGGCTAAGAGATGCTCACACAGTATCAACCAGCCCTAACATGCAGAACCCCCCCGTCCTGAATTTTCCCAGCCTCCCCTTTTTTTTTTTTTCCTCCTGCCACCAGGGGAGGAGGAAGTTGGTGCAGAATGGGACCACTGATGCATTTTGATTGCACCACAACGGTTGGAATGAGTCATAAATCAAACCCCTGACCTGTCCCGGCTCTTAATCATCCCCCTACATCCATACAAAAATGCATCGCCTTGTCTTCATTTTGGCTTGGTAGGGACTGGTCACACTGGGAATTCACTGGGACCATCGTTACATGCTGATGGATGTCTGATGTTTAACAGCGGCCCCTCCGGCTTTGGCTCTACGAGATGAGCGCATTATGGATTTTTCTTTGTGTGGAGAGAGAGCTATGGGTTTTACCATCTTATGCACCTTGTATTTATTCACTGAAACTACATGTGCACATACAGCTGGACCTTTTATGTCATTTGTACACTGATTTAAACCGTTATCCAGAAGCACAACATCACCTGCACTGCTGTTTCTATAATTCCTAATATAAGAATAAGCTGTCTCACTATGTTTCTACGAGACTTTTTCATTTTTTATTTGCACATTTCTGACTTTAAAAAGAAATATGTGATTTGATGAATGCACTGACAGGATAGCTGTGATGTGCACTGTGCAATGACATTAAAGGAGTTGTATTGTATTCTACCTCCTGGGGCTGGGAGGAGGCGGCCTGTCATAACACTGAGTGGGAGGTGTGTGAGTGTGTGTGTGTGTGTGTGTGTGTGTGTGTGTGAGTGTGTGTTGGAAGTCGTGACACACACCCCTCACCCCTCACCCAGCTTATCAGTGCCCAGGCAGCTGTGTACCTGACGCTGTGTAATCTCATTGATCCCATTACCAACAGTGTTGGACCAGAGCTCGGGCCTGAGAGCCTACGCTGGTGTCACAGGGTCAGCCGGACGTTTTAAAGGAGCACCTCCACATTTTGGGAAGCATTTGCTCGTTGTGTCGCCTGTTTTGTATTCGTGTGTTCAGCAGGGATAGTCTGAATATCGGTGTGGCCGATATTCTGATTATCAGTGTGATAAATGTGCTGCTTCAGGTCCAGTGCAGCCTCCTGACTCTCACAAATGAGATGTGACGATGCGACAAACCATGAAATTAGCTTCTCTCGCAGTGGCTAAAGCTATGCTAACGGCTAGCGGCTAAGTTCGCCACAGATTGTCCTGAAACAGAGTTTGGAGCACAATAATCAATAATGCTTTAAGATATGAACCTTAATGGGTAATAAAAGTGTTATAACAGTGAAAGTTTCAGAAAATAGAGGATGACTGCAGAAGACAAATCTCAGTCACGTAAACAGAGTAGAGCATCCTAACTTAAACGCTCCTGTTAATATTTTACATATTCAGTTATAGTCACCGTTGGTAATGAAGAAGCCTCGTTATGAATGAGAGGTTCTCTGCCATCACATGCTGTCATAACATTGCATTCGTTGCATACAGGTCCAAAAATATCAGCTATCAGCCTTTTTGATTACCAGTAATTGGCATCAGCATTGGCCAAAGAAACAAATGGTCAACCCAGCTTGCTTGGTCTAGCTTGGGGAGAAGAGGAAAAACTGCTTGTTTAAAGGTTTTATTTACAGTCTCTACCTTTTTCTTCACTCAAGTGCAAGATTTGGATTGGCTTATTTATATATCTGATTCACTTTGAAGGTGCTGATCACCTGTTTTCACCTCATAGTCTCGACACTGATGAGAAAAATGTTTTGTCTCCCTGTCTGATGTGCAGACGTCCCACCATCGAGTGCCGCCCTGTCCTGTCATCAGACCTGGCAACCCCACTTCCTGTGAGCAGACGTGGCCACATGTCCGTTCTGTTGTAGGTGGAACCACAGTGGATCAGGTCAGTGTTTATTTTTTTATTTTTTTTAACCAAACGCTGAAACGTTTTTGGAGATATCAGTGTAACAGCTGCAGCAGAGGTCCTGGCTGCTCCTGCTGGATGCCTGGTGTTGTTTACCTGCCTCCTGGCCAGATGAAAGCAAAGTGCTGGCTGCCGCCTGCCTTCCAAGGTCAGGTCGCCCAGACCTTGTTTAGATGTGAATGATGCTTTGGGTGAATTTGGAGCGCAGGCAGTGGATGCTGTTATCCGTCGCCTCCCCGTATAATGAGGTGCATGTTGTGTGTGCACGGTGGAGGGCTGGTGACCCTTTTGCTGTCTTCAACACGATGATGAATGGGACTGTTAGGAGTGGAGGAGTGAGACTTCACTGTGAATTTCTTAACCATCGTGCACACACACTTTACACTTTGCTCTTGGATGAATCTGAACATGCGGATCTTCATTTCTCCCCCCTTCCTTGGAGGCACATAGAAAAGCCAATACATTATTTGTCTACACCAATTTATTCCTATAGCTTCTTCTCCTGGGTGTAGGTTGAACATTGTGATGGAGTGTTTTCTTATTAATGCTAAAACAGTGTCATTTCTAAAGCTTTGCATTGCTGAGTGCTTCCATGCATCCAGGATGTTGGTAAAATGGGAAAACCATCCTGAATGCATCAGTTTTTAATGTTGCTACACATTAAATTGCAATTTAAATTCTGTACAATTGTCATTTAAATCAGTGAA